AGCCGTCTCAGAAGCAGGAGGGGGTGGAGGGATTTACTACCTTCCAGGAAGAAGAGCCAGGAAAGGAGCATGTCCTCTAGGCCCCATTGAACCTACTCAATCCAGGGACAGAAAGCTGTGCCATCAGATGAACTGCTGAGGAATGAGAGAGATGCTTGCAGCGGAGAGGCAGTCTAGAACCAGCATAGAACCAAGAACCATAGCTCAAGGCAGAATGGTGGGCTTCCTAGCCCCAAAAGCAAGTAAAACTGAGTGACTTCAGGCATGAGGCTTGTTTGTGGAATGGGATGACTCCGGGTACTTAAATAAGGGATTTGCTGACCCAGGGAGCTAGAGCTGATTGAGCTCCTTTCATGGTGGGGAGTGCTGCTTTGTGGCCTTATCAGCAGGATTAAGGGAGCATTGTAATACTGCTTGAACAAGGCAGAGACCAAGTGGCTGTGTCAGAGAGGCCAAGGACCAGATAGAGGCCTGCTTGTGGGCATGGCAGAGAAGATGCTGCCCTAACTGTGCCCTGAGCATTTCTAATCCTGAGTTGTAACCTGTTAACTACCCTAATAAACCTGTAACTGTGAGTGTGGTATCTGTGTGGCCATTTCCGTGACTTATCGCACCAAGCTGAGTAGAGAGTGCTGAGGGAGGGGTGTTTGGTGTCAGAATTAGTGAGGAAGATCAGAAGGTGGAGGCATGTGTGACCTCGGCCTCTTTAGGAATTGGCCTTGGGATGATGCTGATGATAAACATTTCCTCCTCCCCCCTGTGAAACTAGAGGAGGTCAGATGCTGTCCCCTAAGCCTTATTACACAGATCAAGCACTGAAATGAAAAACTGCTAATTTTGCTGACTTTCATATACTCCTTTGGTAACCAAATTTAAAGATAGCTGCCTAAATACTAAAATATTTAGTTGTTGTTGTTGTTGTTGTCAGGTGCCATCGAGTCAGAACCTACTCATAGCAACCCCATGCACAGCAGAACGAAACAATGTCCGATCCTGGGCCAACCTCACTACCACTGCCATACTTGAGTCCATCAATGATG